TAAACAAGACTTCTGGTAAACTTGTTGTAGACTAACATCCTCAGAGAAGAACACAGAAAGGACTTTCCATGTTCTAATAGTTAAAAAAATTAGGTGGTATGAATAAAAACTTAGATGCTTTTTACTAAAATCTGTTGCAAATAGCAAAACTTTCAAATTATAACATAACAGAGGTTAAAATTATGTCTTCTCCAAAATAATGAATTCATCTTATTTATCCATTTGCAAATGTATTTTTGTTAATCTAGATTTGAACAACCGTCATCAACACTTTTAGGCTGCTAGAAGGATATTTCCTAAATTGTGTTGGCCAGTGGTTAAAAAACAGTGTAATTTTCTATAGTGTTTAGCTCTTAAACTAAAGAAATTTGAATATTTAATTAGAATCATATTGTTTTGGAGCAGAGAAAAATATTAGAGATCATCTAAAAATATAATAATACTGTCACTCTTTGTATTATAAGGCATGAGAGGTGACTCTGCTTATTATCATAGGCAAAACCTTGTAACAACTTTGAACCGAAATAACTTTTGCAGCATAGAATAGCCAACCTTAAGGAGACTTCAAAGATTTTCCTTTCATAAAACACTAGTAATCACAAAACAGAGTTTCATCTTATTTTTACAAAATAAATTTAGTGATAATATAAAGGAAATCATTCATAGATTTTTATCTAGGATGCCATTGTCTCTAATTTTCAAGATTTTCATTTGAGGGAGTAAAACTACACCTTTTAACTGGGAGCAGGATAATGTGATGGGTAATAGCCCTGGAGTCAGAAGAGCTGGGTTCATATCCCTTATTTGTTCTTTAGTGACCTTGAGTAAATAATTCAGCCTCACATATCAAAACCTTATGATCTGTAATACGGACTAATAAAAATACCCAATTACTGAGGGTAATGTTACATGACAAATTGCAAAAGTGCTTAGAAAAGGCTTTTCTTTATTAATGGTGACAATAAGAAAAAGACACTATGTACATTTATATTAAATGAATTTTAAAATGATTGATCTGTAATCTGCCAAATGTTTAACAAAAGCAGTATTACTATCTTAATTTCTTCTTCCTGTAATACCCTATTATTTAGGATTCTGGCATTGTCTTAGGTTGAAACTAACTATACATCATCATCTTGATGATCCATACTACAGAGAACATTTGTACAATAAAAGTATTAAAGATTGATTCTCCTCAATCAAATTATTTAGATATCTGTTACTCTCTACACTTTAACATTCATCTTACATATTATGATGAGGCTGAAAAAGCCTTGCCTCCACTTTGAGCAACCCTAGGAAGTCATTGGTAAAATGCTGCTTTTTAGATGCAAGTTTATTGGTTAAAGGATGCAGGGAAGTAGACATTTTTTCATGGACTGGAGGTACCAATGAGAGGAAACTTTTTTGCGAATTAATGTTTTGCTCCACTAGTGACTTCATAGAGTGATATATATAGTTGAGACAGCTACCACCTAGTTATCTGAAAACCAGATTTTCAAGGAAAAGCTAAGTAGATATTTTTCTGAGATGTCTGTGTTGGAAAATTAACTTATAATTACCTTGAAATACTTAAATAATTGGCTAATACCCACACATATTTCAAAATTTTGCTAAATATGTTAAGGAGGCTTACAGCTGACCACTCTACTTAATACTGCAATTTAGCTCTCTCTTGAACCTCCATACCATGATCTAGTTTCTCTTCCATAGAAATTACTATCTTTTAATATTCTTTTTAAAAATTCTCACTTATTTTGTTTATTTGTCTTCCTTTCACCAGAGGAAGGAATCTGGTGAAGGCAGAAATCTCTACCCTGCCCTGATATGTCTCAAGGGTCCTTAGAACAGTGACTGGCACAAGTAGGTACTCAATAAATTCTTGTTTAATGATCTAATGATTGATTGGCTGAACAAGTTTGTCAAGTTACCTTTGAGTTTTACTTTGAATATTTTTTCTGCTTTCTCATAGTACACTGATTTTTAAATTTCTTTTTCCTTTTTGCTCCAAGGTAAATCTTTCTATGAGGGATAAACAAAATCAAAGAAAATAAAATTTTTCTCATTTTATTGTGGATCAGTCAGTCTCAGATTTGACACTTTGTAATCTTTCTCATTCCCTGTCCAATGCAAGAGGCCTCTGGAAATTTTGGAAAGGATTTAAAAACCACTTTCACAACCACTCGTGGTCAAAGCTTTCCTTTAACATTTTTCTGACTGTCTCAGTTGTAAAGAAATATTTCTTTAAAAAAGGGACAGTAATTAATATTTGCATGTCTCTGTGTCTATACAAGTTACAGGAAGAGGATCCTGGAAGTTTGGCTTCTGAATATCATGATTCATTGTGACGTTTTCAGGCGGGATCCTTTGGCAATTTATGATGGAAAGTTTCATAAAAATGAAGTAGATCTTCCTATACTTTATGGTCATGCAGCTTATCCTTCACTAACATAAATTTAACCTGATTCATTCTTCTTCTCAGTTCATGAAGTAGATGTAAACACCCAAAAGGCCTTTGACTTTTTCTCAGCACATAGATGCATTATTGTATGACCAAGCAGATGACTTATCAGTGAGTCCAGGTCCACAGCCAGCATTTCTAAGCCACAGAACCTGTGCTGAAGAACTACAGTGGTAGGAAATCTTTGAATTAAAAAGCTGCAACAGTACTACAGTGCCTGAGGCCATATTTTGCTTAAAATGTGTGTCCTATTACTTAGCCTTTTGAAAAGAGACTGAGAGATAAAGGGTTTCATTCAATCTTAGTCGTAATTACGAAGGAGATTCTGCTTTATGTGGTACTGTTATGTGGTGTAAAGCCCCAGCTTTTCAGACTGGATTATTTCATGGTTTTTGACATTAAGAAATATAGCCACATGGATAATAATAGCTACCATTTTCAGGATGTGTTCTTTTGTATTCATATTATATCTACTTATATAAATGCCTGTTGCCCAAACTGCATTTCTCCCTTTCTGTTTGGCTTGTTTGCCAGGTACCTATGACCCCATGATAGTCCATTCAGAATAGGAGCAGCTGAAGTAATTTCCATTAATAATATGTTTACTTTCAAACAAATGAAGTGCAGGGATATTCACAAAACTATGAACTGAGACTAATGTTTTCTTTCATGTGAAAAAATATTCTTTCATTGCATAACCCAGATATATTCTATACAGTTAGACTACTGAGACAATGAAAAAGATGATTCAGGAAATTAGAACAACTTATGCTTTATAAGGAATTTGAAAGCAGTATTTTATTCTTTGGCTTGAGTTACCTGAGCAACTGACTCAGTTTTCACTTTGATTTTCTGGACTTGGCATTAGAGAATCTGTAGACATTTGGAGAAAATTAAATTACTCCATTTAAGGAAACAATCAAATTTAGACTGGGTTAAACTGCTGTTAGAGGGATAAAAATCCCTAAATTGTCCAATTGTGATTCCAGTTCACAGGGTAACCCTAGTTCACAAGCTAACCCTAGGGTTTCATAGATTGCTAGTAACAAAATCTGCCAAAAATCTTCTAAACTCAGTGAAGAGATATGTTTGATGCTATGCTGACCTAAAAGAATGATGTGATGGCTTTTAACAACTGTCTTTGCAGTGTTTAATGTTTAAATAAAACAATACCTTGTCTGGCAGAAATCAGCAGAAACGCATTTTGAATTGTTTTCTCAGCAGTGTGGTTGGATTTCCACTGACCCATTAGTACTTTGGGTGACCAGTGGCGTTCTTTACCATAGGACTGGCTGAAGTTAAGTCTTAAAGAACAGTTGGATTTGCACTGACCAATGATGTGCAAGAAGAGGGAAGCTGATTGATCCCAAAGAAAGCCAACATCTAGACTGACGAATGTGAGGACTCTTTGGTTTGGCATTTGCCCTCATTATTTATAGTACTAATGCCAGTGATGAGGTTAGGTCCCATTTGTTGTTGTTGTTGTTGTTGTTTTTTAAACTACCTCAAGCATGTTATTCCCTCAGTAGAAGAGGACCACTTTTTAATCAAGCCTGTTCAATAGCTCACTTCCCGGTCAGAACATCTGAACAGTTGCTCAAACATCAATACAAATGTTGAGGTCATTATGATTGTTCTGATATAGCAGTTGTCAGAGGGACTGGCCGGAGCAGTTACTCTCACATGTTTCACACACATTAAAACATACTTGTCTAGTGTCCCATATCATCAATTCTCTGTTTAAGAAAAGATAAATCAGTTAAAATTATGTGGGACTTTCAAATGCTGTTGTCTTGATTTATTGCAACAGGACAGGACCACTGAGAGATTTATCTTTGGCAAGGGGATTATTTTTGGTGCCTTCTTAAATCACATGGAATACGTAACCATCTGTGTATAGAGCTTCCCTAGATTCTGAAGTTGAAGAACTCCCACAGTCACCTGGGATACATTTTCTAAAATACAGGTTTTTCAAGGAATTTAACAGAGTATTTTATTCACTAAGTCATGGCAGATTGGCATCCTGTACTTTAAAACAGATCACTCCTTCCCCCAGAAGATCTAAATCCCAATCACTTTGTGACTAGTGTTATCAACTCATTGAATTGGCCTTTGCCCTGCAAAAACTGAGGACTTAATCTTCATGGTGATGAGGATTTTTGTTTTTTTCCTTGCAGTGACGTGTACAACTTGATAATTCACCTCATATTGCTTCTGCATTGAAAGACTTTTTTTTTTTAATAATAAAATGAATATTAACTTGTTTTAAAAGAAGTTGGCCCACTATGAAAGGACTGAGGGAAGAAATGTAGTTATTCAATTAGACCTACATTTCATCCCTGAAACTAAGTTGCTGGTTTTCACATTAGTGGTGAGCTCTTTCAAATCTTCTTGTAAAAGCCATTAATATTTTCATTGTGTAGAGTTCAGACTATTTTGTGCTTTTACAAAAAGACAAAACAAAAATTGAATATGTGGCAACTTTTAAACTTATTTTTGTAATGTCTACCCTATGGACACTGTGTAATACATTTTAGGATCATTCTTAATAATATATCATGTAAAAAGGATCCAAAGAAAGAGCTAAACAGCAAATGCTGAACTCACATTTAAAATTTGTCACTAATATATCTTGATGCAATGGAAAAGGTTGATGATAATCACCCATTTTTTTGGAAATTGTGGAGAAAGAAGCATTAAATAAAACAGGAATGTGCTGTATCTAGAAAGTTCAGGCTTTATGGTGTAGGTCTACTAAAAAGTAATAGACAATTTCCTTATTAGACATTCAGAAATGGCAGATTTAGGTACAGAATTTATATGGAAATTTAGGTATAGAAATTATATGGAAATATATGGTCAGATTTTTTTTTTAATCTACAAAAGGAAGTAATTGAAAGAATAGTGTGAGTACAAGAAAAAACAGAGAGTGGTAAGAATAATCATCAAAAAATAAAAAGGGAGTGATGAGAATGATCAAGTCAAGCTTCTATGGGGACAAGGAAAAGATGCTAATGTTGTCACTGTGAGAGCAAGGTGTTATTTATTTCTCCAAGTGGAAAAGATGTGAAGGAGTAATGATGGCAGCCTGAGAGGGCAACTTTAGGATCTAGGGAAGCTCTATACATAGATGGTTACATATTGCATGTGATTTGAGGGAGAATCAAATTATCCCCTTGCCAAAGATAAATCTCTCGGTGGTCCCATCTGTTACAATAAATCAAGACGCTAGTATTTGAAACTGCCACATAATTTTAACTGATGTATCTGTTCTTAAGTAGGGATTTGATGATAGGGGACACCAGGCAAGTATGATTTAATGTCAGTGGAAGATGTCAGATGGTATTGTCCAGCCCTTGAGTTAGCCCCAGTGAGATCTATGCAGAGTTGGAAGCCCTTAGCACATTTAGCATGGCTGACACCTGGAGTTACAGAGGAAGCAGAATCCAATGATAGATTGAATCTTACTTTTTTGTTAAAGATTAGCTGTTAGCAGTATATATTCAGTCACAGTGCACACTGGCACTGCTACCCCAAACTAGGAAAAATGGTTAATTTTTTTTTTTTTTTTTTTTTTTAGGAATACTGTTATACCTAATATTTACCTCTATTATAAAATTATTTAGCTGGATTGTATTTATTATTTGTCAGTCACTGCTGTTAGAATATGAGATCCTTGAAGGCAGGCTTTGATATTTTCAGTTTTGAGTTGAGGATAGAGCTTGGTACATGGAAGCTAGAATAAATCGTGCTGCAAAAGGTTTATGGAGACTGGAGTTAAGGAGACCCACATGTAGACCATAGATTCATAATGTATCAGCTGTGCGGACTTGGGAAAGTTATTTGGCTTCTCTGAAACTCATTTCTCTCATTTGTAAAATGCGGATACTACAATCTACTTCTTTTAGTAATGGGGATTAAGTATACGAACATCAGAAAAGTGTGTAATGTATTTCCATTGAATAGTGAATGTGCAATAGTAGCATACGTGGCAGAGTATTGGGTGTCTACTGACGAGTCAAATAAAATTAAATAATTTTCAAGAGAAACAAAAACTTTTTAAATCACACAGTACCTGGAGGAAATACCAAAAAAAGTCAAACACATTTATCCGTTGTATACTTATTTTTAAAGTTCATTAAATCCCAAATGTTGAGAAAGGAAGTAAAATGCGAGGGAGCAGAAAGAGAATTGCAAAATATTCTTGTGATACCTTTTTTTTCTGTTTCAGATTATGGTGATTTTTCATTATTCTTAATTCAAGAAAAAATTATACCTGAGGTTAGCCTAAGGATGCTGACCAGGCAATAATTCTGTCATAATTTTTGCCTCTAAATAACATAGGGGAGGTGTTTTCTTTAATTTATCTTAAAATTCCCTTGATTAGGATATTAAGATCCTGCTTACAATGAACTAGTTTTAGCATAAATCAGATAAAGCCTTTTGTTCTACACTGCTCAGTAAGGAAAAGCTTAGCTTGCTTTTGACTTCTTTTGCCTAATTGCTTTTCTCCATTAAAAGAGAATATATCATGAAAAAAATATAATCCCTTCCTGTCCTTCAGTTCTCTTCTTGGGTTTGCTTTGGAGAGTTTGAAATTACATGAAAGCTATGAGAGAGCGAGATAACTATTCAGGAGAAAATTAAGCTTCTTAGGGCGTGGAAGGAGGAGAGATTCCTCACATGATTTGGTGGGTCTGTTAACACTTTAGGACTCATAGATAACATTTAAGTGAATAATAATTTACTAGGAGCCAGAAAGTATATGGCAATGTGTTTTAAACCACTATAATTGTGAAGTCTACCATAATCAGAAAATCACAGAAATTGCTTTAGAATGAAAAAGGACTTAATCAACAAATACTGGAATCACAAATTTGACAAAAACTTTAGACGTGTCCTGGTGCAAATGCCTATTCAAACAAACTATTCTGCTAGTTAAGTAACGAGTGATGATTAAACTCTGTTTATGCTTTCAGAAGAAGTATGTACTTCTTACCTCATAAAGTAATAATGTTTTCAGGAGAGATTTAATTATTAAAAAGTTTTCCTTTTTTTTAATCAAAATCTGCCTACTGAAGCTATTGCCAATTAGCCATCTGCATGTTGTTATTGCTGTTTCTTAAGATATTTATTGAGCTTCTCCAATGTGCTGTGCTCTATGTTTTTAATTTCTTTGGAGTTAAACACATTATGTCTAATTTCTCATTCACTTAAAAAAATACTTTCTCTCTATATATATTTCTTCCCCCCATCTTAGTCTGTTTTTGTTGCTATGATAAAATACCATAGATGTGTAATTTATAAAGAAAATAAGTATTTCTTACAGTTCTGCAGGCTGGGAAGTCCAAGGGCCTGGCACTAGCAACCAGGGAGGGCCTTCTTGCTGCGTCATAACATGTGGAGGGCATCACATGGTGAAAGGGTAAGACAGTGCCTGCAAGCTCAATTCTGTCTTCATCATCTTAAAGCCACATGCCCCTGCATGGGGGCCCCACACTGGTGACCTTATCTAATCCTAATTACCTCCTAAAGGACCCACTTATAGTCAGTGTATTAATTTGAAGATTAAGTTTTCAACACACAAAATTTGAGTGTTAAAGCCTCTTCCATCTCTTTGCCGGCTCTCTCCTTTTGCTAATCTTGGCATACTCTAATTGTCAGGATACCTCTTAAAGTCAAGTCCAAAATTACTTACACTATCCCTGGATTTCTGAGCAAGACAAAGTAAAATGGAAGCATTCTCTGGTACTGGAAATATTACTTCTGTTAATGTCACCTAAAGTCAAAGGTAGGGGTGTGTGTGTATGTGGGTGTGTGTGAGAATCTGTATATGTGTTTTTGTCAGTGTTTTATCAATTCATACTGAACTTATAGTTAGTTGAAACCTCTGAGTTTTTCCACATTAACTGTTCTTAATCAGCCTTTCTGTACTATACTCAACACTTGATGTCATCAGCCCACTTTAAAACATGAAATGTTACTATTCAGCTCTACCTTCAATCATTAAAAAAATAACTTATCTACTAAGGGTACTATTCAAGATACTATGAATACAAACATAGATAAGGCATAGTATCTGTTCTAGAAGGATTTATCGCTCATTAGGTGAATACATTTGTATATGCAAGTCTCATGAACGGTTAAAAGCCCTATAATGTAAGTTAGTTACAAAAATCAACATTCTTTGTTAGCTGAGTATTGTTGAGTGATGAGTGTTGGCTAGAGTGACATTGTTGGTAGCGTGTTAGTTTTCTCTTGATGCCATAACAAATTACTACTAATGTAATAGCTTAAACAGCATAAATTTATTATCTCACTCTTCCGTAGGTCAGAAGTCTTCCATGGATCTCTCTGGAGTAAATCTGGTTTGTCATCAATGCTGCGTTCCTGTTAGAAGCACTAGGACATAATCTGCTTTCTTCCTTTTCCGGCCGTTTTTGAGGCTGCCTACATTTCTTGGCTGGTGTCCCCTTTCTTTCATCATCAAAGCCAGTAAGCTTGCATCTCTCAGACCATTATTCTCTAGTCAGATTTTCCTCTGACTCCTCTTCTGCTATTTTCTTCCACTTGTAAGGAGCTTGTGACAACATCGGGTCCAGGGTTCTCACGCTCTCTTTAGGTCAGGTGATTAGCAAACTAATTAACATCTTTAACCTTAATTGCCTTTGGCAACTTTAAGGGCAAAATTTGTAATACTTTTTTCTCACCCATTATAAAAGTCATAGCCAACACTCCTGTAATGAAGAACAGATTAACAAGAGAAAAGTGTAACAAACTTAAAGTTTAATGTAACACAGGAAACTTCAGAGATGAAGACCCAAATATCCAGGGAAAGCTGTGTATGTTTTATGCTTAGTTTCAGTGAAGAATGGACAGCCATGTAGAAATGTGATTGGACAAAAGAGTATAATCTACTGGTAATAGACTGAGGGGGGAAACCCAGAAAGGTCTGTTTTTTTTTGTTTGTTTGTTTTCAGATTCTTCTCTGTGTAGCATTATTTCCTCCAGAGTATTGGGCAATGAGGGTCTTCAAGGAAAAAGGGAGAGTGTCCTTTCTAAATTTTATGGCTTAGTTAAGGGAAGAAGACTTTTAGTTTCTAGACTGACCTTGGGGAAATGCAATTCTGGTTTCTGTGGTTTGCTTCTGGGCGGAAGGAGGGGTGTGAGAAAGGAGGGCAGGAAAAGGTCAGAGACCTTGTTTCTGAGGCTTTTCCAATCTCCTTCAGTTCAAAGTACTCAGCATGCGTGGGTGCCATACTTTGGATATTAAGTTTGGAGCCCTAACCCATGTAATCCAACCTATTTACAGCTTCTGGAGATTAAGATGTGGACATCATTGGGATGTGATTATTTTTGCCTAGCACAGGTAGACACATTTCAGGCAGAAGCATAATGTAGATATGCAAGAGAAGTGCAGGTTGCAAGCAATTATGAATGCATCAAGGAAGCCTAAAGGATGAAACGAGAGACAGACAGTGGTCAAGATGATGGAAAGACTTAAGGAACAAGATCAGATTGGTTGTTTAAAAAGATTATCAGCAAGAGAACAGATTTAAGAAATGCAGAACCAAAGATAAGAAAACAGAAAAACAACAATTACTTAGTCAAGAAAGATACCAGAAGCTTATACTATTTTCTTAGCACCAGAGGTGAAAAAGAAGGAATAGATTTCATATGTGCTAAGGAGTTAGGGTCTATGGGATTTGCTGATTTATTACGTACAAGAGGGCATGACTGGAGTCAAGACTGATTTCCTGATTTTTATGTTAAGACTCTAGGTGAATGGTGGTGTCATTTATGGTATGGATTACTGAAGAGAAAGTAGAGATAGGGAGTCAGTCAAAGGAAGAGAAATGCTTCTGATTTCCATTTTAGCACACGGACATAACTAAACTATATTGAACCCTCATGCGTAACTCCATTTCTGTGTTACCCACAAATATGAAATTAATCTTTAATGGAAAAAAATGAAATATGAAATTAATTTTTAATGGAAAAAAGTGTGATAGAGAATAGAGTCATCACAGTGCCAGTAGGGGTCACTCTTAGAGTCCCTAGTGTAGCTACCGCTGTTATATCAATCTGCATCCACTATATAACACTATTCAACCAGCTTTGGCACTGTACTATTAGCCAGGTCATATTTCTCCACATATTCCAAAATTTGTCTAAATAAACTTTGTCTAGTGCCTTGGTGAAACATTTAATAGACTGTCTAAATCATGAAGCAATATTGGGAAAGTTATTTGTATTCAGTAGTAGTAAATATTTAAGTAATTTTATTTTCCATTTTAATAAATACATTAATCTAGAAAACTCTATGTATAAATTCTGTTCAAAACCCTGTGTGGAACATAAATACATTTATCATGTTTATAAATATGTAAAATATAAAATATAGTGACCATGCAGCAGAACAAGAGATAAATTCTTACTGGAAAAAAAAGTGCTTGGATAAGTGGCAGTTGACAGAAAATAGATGGGAAATGAGGATAGATTCACTGGGAGACAGGATACCTGGAAGAAAGAACAGTGTGATTAAAAATACTGGAAGAGCATTATGCAGAGCATTATAATGATGAGGGATGTTGTGTGACGGCAACACAGATGTGGCTGCAAGGGAGGTTTAGAGTGAAAGAATTAGTGGCTTTCTGGTCCATAGAGGTAATTATTTTTAATTGAATTTGAAAGTCACTGGGCAGCGCATAGACTCTCCAAATCATCACTAGGCTCTCATACCCGCTATTGTGTTTTCTAACTAGACTCACCTATTTATATTTCTTACCAATTTCCTTAAATAGCTGCATTTATAACCCTGGCTTTATAAACTTACTTTGCAATCAACACACAGTGTTTGTTGAAAGGGTGGGGTTGGATGGTGCCGTTATCAGAGTCGCACTGTAAAAAGGCATATTAATGGCAGAGTGAATTTCAAATTATAGTGTTGAATAAAGGTGAGACCACTTGAGGAAGGTGAATAAGCCAAGAGGTTGTTTAAAAAGTTAAGATAAAAGAAGGCTGAACTGTGATGATAATATTAGGAAGAGAAGGGAAGGACCAAACTTGAGAAACCAGATTTAAAATTTCATTAGGACATAGTCTGGGTCTTGTTCTTTCAGTAGGACAAGACACAAAGTAGATAATAAATAAATGAATGAATGAATACATTGGGGTAGTTGAATTGGATGTGATGAGTGAAAGGAAAGAACTGAAGGTAACTTGAAGAACCTGAATATAAGTACCCAGAAGGATCATGCTTCTGAAAGTGCCTGCAGGAGAATAACATTCATCTTAGATCAAGTGTTAAGAAGACATCCAGGGAGACACATTCAGCAGTGGTGAAAATAGGAATGTGGTTCTCAGGATAGAGATTATAATGGAAAGGGAATATGAAAAATAAGTTTATTTCAAATCAGCAAAAATGTATGTATCAAGATGAAATACAGATTACTAATGTTTTTAAAAAGAAAGGGGTGATCATTTAATGCAGACTTATTGTTTCATGGATGAAGAAACTGAAAAGCAAGTGTTTTGGGTAAAGTTAACCAGTAAATGGAAGAGTTTGCTCTAGCACAGAAAAGGATATTCCTTGTGTTGCATCAATACATTACTTCACTACCTCTGACATCCCACCACAAGTTTCCACTCTGACCCATTCTCTATTTAGAAGGGAACCATTTTTATCATCATTTATGTTCCCAAATATGAACTTGGATCCATTTGTAAAATTTGCATATGGACTATTTAGTACTTAGAGATTTCAAGATACCTTTTTCTAAATTCAAGACCCAGTAGAAAGAGAGTGGGACTGCAAGGAAGCCTAGGGTGAAATCTACCAGCTTTATTTTATTAATTTCTAGTATTCTGGCCTGGCCACTCTAACTTATCTCCGGTTTTTCAGTCAAATTGCTGTTATGAAACTAACTGGATTCTCCAGTTCTAAATTTCACAGAATTATGTAAGGCTAATGGATTTCAGGTCATGACTTACCGAGCCTAAGGATTCTGGGGAGGCACCTGAGGACTGCTGCTGGGGCTTAAGAGTGTGGAGAGAGCAGGACCTTGGAGCTCCTGCTCTGATTCCAACAGAGACACATAACCTTTTCTCTGTTTTAATATTGGGCTTTCTCCCATGATTGTCTATAAAGGAAAGGCCTCTTATTTTAAAATATTTGATAACTTCTGCCAGAGGTTATTAATCTCAGGGCTGCAGCCAGCATTTCAGATCTTACCCTCTTTTGTTTGTGGATTATATTAAAACACTCCAAATCCCATTGTTTCAAATGAGTAAATCACACAAGTTCAATTTTATCCTAAAAGTACCTTCGAGCCATTCAGCTCTGAGCCCAGCAACATCTTACTCTGGCTTTTGCCAACACAGTTCCCTTTGCCTAAAGATGTATTGAGAGGAAAGGATTTCAAGTTTTCACAGCTAAAGGAGAGGCTTTTCATTAAGAGGAGATACAAGCAGATCTTGAGACATCCATTTAAGACGGAAGAAAAAGTTTTGGGTCTTTTTCCAGTTCTATTTATTTCTATTGCTATTTGTAAGCCACATTTTTTCCTGTGTTATAATTTATGGAATGCTTATGCAAAAGACCCATGAGCTATATTAGGGGAATGGAGCTATGATATTGTGGTACATTGAGAGCACAGGTCACTACAAAACAAAACCAAACAAACAAACTCCACCAAAATACTTCCACAATAATTCTTCAATTAAAGATGGATTAAAAAATAGTTACCTCCAAGACCATCAACATAATAGAAACAGCCACTATTCAAAGCTTTCATTGAACCATATTAATGTCCTCCTATGGTTAGATTGAACTCAACTTCAGTATGATTTAGGTTGAAGAAAACTCATGTTGTTCAACGACACTAAAGAGTTAAAATCAAGAATGGGGTGGTCTGGTAGTGAACACCTAGAAAGCAGAGAACATAAAGAGATTTAAAAGGGCCCTCAAGTGAATTCCAATACCATATTTATTTTAGTTTATCTTTTAAAGTTCTAGCTCTGTGTAAATATACATAGCTTTATTCTTTCTGTTAATATTATCTCTAAAAAATAACATGTTGGTACCGTTTGGGAATATATGCCCAATAACTTCTTGAATAAAGTGATGTCATTTTAATTTTCTACTTTTGTGTCAGCAGCTTCATCTTTTATTCATAAATACTTGTTTTTGATTTGTAAAAGCAGTTTTCTAATTCTAATTACTCTGCTCTTCCTTATTTTTTAGTTGTACCAATAGCAGTGGTTCTGATTTACGTAAACTTAGATAATAATACATTAAATTAATATATTGGATCAATTTTCAACTTTTAAAAACATCACCTTATCTGTTCTCTCATAAAAACTATCTGAAATAAAGGGACAATGACATTTGACTTATCTTTTTAATTGAGAAAAATTAACCAAGATAATAACTTTTCCACACTACACAGTAAGAAAACAGCAAGTCAGAATTTGATGGTGAATTCTCCCCGCTAAGGTCAAACTACATCATGCATGAGTTTTTACCAAGGTGCTGTAATATATTCTCAGCATTCCCAAGTTACATGGTATCTTAGAAGATCAGGAGATATACTATTTCTCAATATATCCAGTGCTATCTCGCAAATTAAATTAGAAAAATTAACTGATATTAAGTTGTTTCACTGGTAGTGTGTTCCAAGATAAGTGAAAATGATTTCTGATTTAGAGTCATGAAAATCCTTCATTTAGAATTATTTTATGTAGATCTAGTACATTAATATTTATGACCTCTTTTTTTTTTTTTTAGTTCCCGATAAAACTTGTTTTTATTCTTATTCTATTCTAAACTCAGAATGTGATTCAACATTTGCTTTATTTTTTTCTAATTGGTGTCTGTTTTTACTTCAGTGGTTCTTTCTAAGCAAAATGAATAAATGTTTTGGTATAATGAATGTTACTGAGAATACATGCATTTTCTTTGTCTTTCCCAGGTTAAAGAATATTTCTAGATGTTGATGACTGAATTAATGATATTTTAGAGTCCTCATGATCTGATAAAGCCATCCATTCCAATGATCAATTGAGGTTAGGCTCTTCTAAAGGAAAAAAAAAAAAGAGTGTATTATATTAGACTGACTTCCTTAATCTAATGGCTTTAAGTTTGCTTTGGAGAACTTCATAACTTTTCAACCAAAGTGTAGTTTACTATGGAAACAAGTAACGTTCTATTCATTGATATGGGAAGGACAGCATATGGGAGGTTATTTATCTCCTTAGTGTCTCCATCTTCCGTTTGCCATGCATGTTTCAATGATAAATGAAAACATTATTTAAACATTTTGAAGCTTGAAAGTCTATTTAGTGAATACAAATTAGCAAATTATTGCTATAATTCACATTTATTAATGAACTTGTGGACTACTGGCAGTTTCTTTGGATTGTTGTTTAGTCTGTTTTTGATTTTCTACTGGTCAAATCACATTTTTTTCCTTAGTGTCATGTGATATTGAACTGTTGTTGAACTCTCCTGTTAAGATCATAAGATTTATTCAAGGTCCTTTAATGAAGATGTTGCTTGCATATAACTTTGTACCAGAACCTCAGGTAAGGAACTTTGAAAGCATAATTGATGTTTTTCTCATCTTTGTTTTGTTTCATTGAATATGAATTCATTCTATTCACTCAGTTCAAAATTTATTGAACCCGCTCTTGTGGGCTCATGGGAACAGGGAAATTAACAAACCAAAATCATGGATCCTTGTACTCATATTTTAATGGTAAGAAATAAGCATTAACAATAATAACAATAGAAGCCAAATAAATAGTGTGTCAAATGGTTATACATTCTATAGAGAAAAAACTCAAAGTGAATGGGACACAGGAGTGCACCCATAAGAAAAGAAGGTGTAATTTTTACATGAGGCTGTCAGGTAAGGTCTTCACTGGTAGTATGACATTTGAGAAGAGACTTGA